GAGGGTGTAGTGATGCCCACAGCTTTAAAAGGGGATTAGATAAGATTCACAGATGATAAGTCTATCAATGGCTACTAGCCTTGGTGACTGAGGGGAACCTTCACACTCAAGAGGCACTAAACTTCTGCATCCGAGAGCCAGGGGATGGCCTTGGCCTCTATGCCCTGTTGTAGGCTGTCCAGAGGAACTGGTTGGCCACGGTGTGAAACAGGATGCTGTCCTGATGCAGCAGGGCTCTTCTTATGTTATGTCAGACCGCTAGTCCATTCAGCTCTATGCTGACTCCTCAGGCTTGCAGCAGATCCAATCAACCTGCCTGTGCCCTTAGTCTCAGTGTTATCTAACACAATGCTTCCCGCCCTGTGTATTGGGCCCCCAAAGTGGGCCACGAAGTCTCTGAAAGGGAGTTGCAGGCCAGCCCTCCCTTTCCATTCCTCTCTTTTGTGTCTTAGAAACTAAGATCTGACCCCAGAAACACTACCTTCCATGTCATACATTAGTTGGTATTAGGAGTTGCAGGCCAGCCCTCCCTTTCCATTCCTCTCTTTTGTGTCTCAGAAACTAAGATCTGACCCCGGAAACACTACCTTCCATGTCATACATTAGTTGGTATTTCCCCCCCCCCACTGCATATACATGTCGATCAAGCAAAACGTGTCCCAAAGGTAACTAGATGAGTTTCTTAGAATCTCAGGGGGGATTAGTGGGCGTAATGGAGGAGGAGAGGGTGCTCAGAGGCTGGGATTTAACCTCCACAGTCAAAGCCTGCGTATATTGGAATGCCACTTGCTTGGGGTTCATAGTGAAGGCAGCTGTGCCCTTTCTGTGATGTTTGCTGGTTTCTCAGAGACATCTGGTTGGGCAATGTAGAAAATGCAACGCTGAAGGAGATGGGTGCCAAGGTCATGGTTTGCCTAAGGCCCCCAAAACCCTTGGGCCAGCCTTGGATGGGTCACCATTCCAAGGAACTATGGACTGGTGGATCACCATACTGAAAAGGCTAGGAACCGCTGATCTAACAGACGGCCGCTTTCCAAGGTCTCCGGCAAAAAGCAAATGGAATTTGTGTCCTCTTATCTCTGACTTACCTGAACAGCACAGGGCAAAGTCAGCCAGACAAACAGAAGCACCATCCGGGGAGAGCCACTCCTGTGGAAAAGTAAAAAGTGGCTGTTGAAATTAAGGGATCCAAAATCATTTCTGGGGACTGCATGGCGCTTCTAATTATTTTATTATTTATTAATTATTTATTAATTAATTATTTACATTTTTATCCCACCCTCCCCGGAGGGCATATCACCAATAAAACAATAGAACAATACAAATATTAAAAATACATCACAGTTAATAAACAGTTTTGGTGCTCCTCTAAACAACTACCAAAGTTAAAATTCCTAAAAGCAAGATGGCCGTCCCCTAAAACGTCCCATTCTCACCCAGGATGCCCGCATCGTGATGGCCATATACAGAAATCATGGGGCGTTGGTGGTACAATGGTGGTGGCGGCTCCTATTCAAAAGCCTGGCGGATGTGCTGGGTCCCACAGAGCCCTGATCTCCTCTGAGAGCTCATTCCACCAGATAGGAGCCGCCACCGAAAACGCCCTATTCCTGGTCATGACTAGTTTGATGGACCGGAGGCCTGGAACGTCCAGTAGATTTTGATTCCCCAACCGTAGTGCTCTTGGGGGAACATGTGGGGAAAGGCGGTCCCGTAAGTAGGCTGGTCCCTGGCCATTAGTACATTAGTAATTAGTACTATGATGGTCTCTGTGACATTTCTAGGGTTGCCAAACTCCAGGTTCGGGTTTCCAAACTCATTCAGGCGATGAGATCAGTTTACCTGGAGAAAATGGCTGCTTTGGAAGGTAACCTCTATGGCATTGTACCCCACTGAAGTTCCTCCCCTCCCCAAACCACACTCAATTCAGGCTCCACCCCCAAAATTTCTAAGTATTTCCCAACCTGGAGTTGGTAACACTACACATTTCGGAAATCATTTTAAACTATTTATTTATGTATATCCCATTTCCCTCTCCAATGGGGACCTAAAGAGGCTACCATGGACCCCTGCTTCTACACTATGAGGCAGATTTTTCCCGCCAAAATTCTTAGTTCCCTTCAGGTGCTGAGCTGGCCCTCATTGGCATGATAATATTTGTGGCTTTGTAAATCTGAATGTCTCACCCTTAGACAGAATCTAATTTGGCTTTTGCCCAGCCCGGGAACTTGCCAGAAGAAAACAGGAGCCTTCTTTTTAGATTACTTGAAATGGCACTGGAGACTGTGTAACAGTGAACAATAATAAGGATTTTGTTTAATAGGCAGGGATGGTATGGGGTAGTCAGGTATTGGAAAGGCTGAGGTAAACTTAGGCTGCGGTCACACAGAGCATTAGGCACGCTAGAGGGACAGAAGATAGGCGGATTTTCCGGGAGCGATCTCACCGCCACATCTGGGAAGCGTAGAGCTCCCGTGGCGAACCCGAGGCTTCCCGCCGAAGATGCGCAATTAAAAACTAGTATCTCGGAGGTTACTAGTTTCCGGTAACCGCGGGGCAAGGGCGGGCGTCTGATCGCGTTTCTGGTGGTAGTTCCGGCACCCGCCCATGCCCCCTCGTATAAAGGGTTTTTTTCCCAACTGTCCATGGGATGCGCACAAACACCCAACGGGGCATGCACACACTTTGGTGTCCGAAAATAAACACCCATTTGCTGCGCCGCTTCTTTGCCGTGGCGCAGGATTGTGGTGTGCTCGGCACCTCCCCCCTACCACGGGACCTCCACAGTACGTCTGCTGGCGCAACCGCGCATTATTTTGCCCCGGGGCAAACAGCCACGCTCCCCCCCCCACATTTTCCTGCCCGTGTGCCTGCGGCCATAGTTGGCAAAACCATATATTTTTCAGTTGACAGACAAGATGGTGCTGTAGCAGCTTATTTTTATGAATCCTTGGTTCTTATCAGAGAGAGGTGGTTAGCTAAGTACTTTGGCTTCAGTTACAACGTTTCTACATATAGTTTCCTATTAACTGTTCCAAGTTTGTCTGAAAAGGTCAAATTCTTTCACCTTTTCTGAAATCACAGTGTGTCTTCTTTTCCTTGAGTAGTCTATCACAGTTTCCTTTCACTACAAACCAGGGACAGCCTCAGTGCCAATTCCCTGTATAACTGGACAGGACTTCTATTCCTTCCCTGAAAATATAATCTTTTTCTTTTTGGCCTGAATGGGAGCTTCAGCCTGCTACCCAGTCACTTTTTGCCAAAATCTCAAGCCCCAGTTCTTCGTGTCTGTGTGAAAATGTACTTCAGTTTTACCTGACACTAGACTCTGGATCCCTAAATGGAATTCTTTCTCAGGTTATATTTAACACAGCTAAGACTAGGAGTCTCTCCCATTATTCAAAAGGTGAACCTGTCTGACTAGGGTTGCCAGGTCCTACTTGGCTGCCAGCAGTGGGATCCTGCTTCTCCTCTAGGATCTTCTGGAAGTGACATCAGCACGTCAGGGTCATCGGGGGGGTGCTGCTCTAGTTTTTGGGCAAAACTTTATGGCAAAAATTTATGGGGTTTTTGCCTTCAAAACCACAGTTTGCCAAAAAACTATAGTGTCACCCTCCAAATGCGATGACATCGTTTCTGGGTGATGTCATCAATTGTAACAGGGACATGGCAGGGCAGCGTGCCTGTTCAGGAGTGGGGCTTTCCCTGCCGACCAGCTGGCACTGGCCAATCAGAGAAAAGGAGCAGCCTGTCACTCAAGCTCAACATTCTAAAGCAGAGTTAACTATTCACCTCCCTTCTCTCTGAACACAAAACAAACTAACCCTCCCATCAGCACACAGCTGATTTTATATTTGCCTCAGCTGGCACTGGCCAATCAGAGAAAAGGAGCAGCCTGTCACTCAAGCTCAACATTCTAAAGCAGAGTTAACTATTCACCTCCCTTCTCTGATTTTGCTGCATTAGGAAAACAGCATTTTAAATGTAGTCCCATCACAGAGCCTCATAGCTTCATTCTCCCCTCCTCAATTTTATCCTCTCAACAATCCTGTGGCTGAGAAAGTGACAGGTCCAAGGTCACCCAACAAAATTCCTAACAACCCTGTGAGGTAGGTTAAGCTGAGCATGATAGGCCCAAGGTTACCCAGCATGCTTCTGTGGAAAATTGAAGTTTACTTTATCTTCACCACCACAACAACCCTGTGAGGTAGGTTAGGTTGAGAGAGAGTGGCAGGCCCAAAGTTACCCAGCAAACTTCCATGTCATAATGGGGTTTATTCTGTCCTTACCAACAACAACAACAAACAAGCCCAAGGCAATCTAGCAAACGTCCGTGACGGGGTGGGTATTTGAACCTGGGTCTCCCAGATCTAGTCCTCTGTTCTAACCACTACATCACGCACGCTCCCTCTCCCTTTCTCTGTCTTGCATTTTGTAACTTTTATGTTTGAACATACTAGATGATATCACAGAGAAAGATCCCCGCTACAAAGCAATTTTGCTCGGTCCCTGCTGTACGCTGCCTGCTGCCACGATCATTCCGTAACAGGAACTCAAAAACAGCCAGAAGGAAATCCAACAATTGCACAAGAGTGGGATGAGTTAGCCTGTCTTGCTACAAACAAAAACAAAGCTCTCTTGACACCTTAGGAGTGAACTGATTGACTGCAGATGAGAGCAGCCAACTTCAACAGAGGCAGAGCGGGAGGGAAGCCTTGGAGCAGCTGAAGGCCGGACTTCCTACGCAGCTGCTCGACAAACACCCTTGTGTTGCCCGAGCACAGAACAGACATAAGAGATTCCGACACTTCTACTCCATCTCTCAATTTCTCCCCAGATTGTGGAGCTCTGAAGGATCTTGCCTTGTTTGGGAGAGGGAGCTAGGGTTGCTACCCTCCAGGTCGCACCTGGAGATCTCCCACTATTACAACAGATCTTCAGATGACCAAGATCCGTTCCCCTGGAGAAAATGGCTGCTTTGGAGGGTGGTCTGGTCTCTATGGAATTATACCCTGCGGAGGTCCTTCCTCTCCCCAGGCTCCACCCCCAAAATCTCCAGGTATTTCCAACCCAGAGTTGGCAACCTTAGAGGGAGCTGACCTCCTCAGAATCCTCTGTTATTCTGTTTTAGATTTCTAAATCTAATGCGTCCCTCATTGCTGCATTCCTTTCTGTTCCCTTCTATCTGGACTGACCCCTGAAGTACACGTGTGTGTTGAGAAAACACCACAACAAAGCAATCAAAAAAATTCCTTTTGTGTGGTGTCTGACCAGGAGCACGTGTGCCACACCAGGCAGATTGTGTTTGCTTCCCAGTTGTAGTGCATAGCGCATGGTCAGTTTTAGAAGTTGTCTTTGGTAATCTGGAATCCTCTGGATCAAGGAGGCGTGGAATCCCTCAATAACAAAGCTGCAGAACGGGGCACATAAAACTCCTTTCTGTTTGGCCGGAATGTATTTAATTTCTCTTTTAGTTCTGTTTCTCCCCTGCCCCTTCCTGAAGGCTTGAGGTGGGGTGTGGGTAACAACAGCTAAAGCAAAAAGCACATTCAAATAATGAAAACAAGATAATTGTTTGAGCCTCCCTCCCCGGTGAATGTGTAAAGTGCAGTCAAAGTCACAGCCGACTTCTGGCAAACCCAGCAAGGGGCTTTCATGGCAAGTGAAAAGCAGAGGTGGTTTGCTATTGTCTTCCTCTGCAGAGTCTTCTTTGGTGGTCTCTTCTCCCTGCTTAGCCTTCGGGATCTGAAAAGATCTGGCTACACCATGCTGCCTTCCGTCCTGCATTTCCCTCTAACAGTTGCTTAATCCTGGCCAGCCCAAGAAGGAAAGCAAGCCACATCTTCCAAAGAGAAGTAGGTTCAGATTTAAAAGTCCCGCACCTATGCCCTGGCAATCCAGACTCTCTCTGAGTGTGCCTGTGAAGGATGATATAAGGCCAGGAGGCACTCTGGGCTGATCTTCAGGGCTATGGTGGTACAGAAGAGATAAGAACCAGGGTAGTGTAACAGTTAGAGTACCATACTAGGATCTGAGATGCCCACATCCAAATCCCCATTCTTGCCATGGAAGCTCACTGGGGCTGTGGTCACATGGTCATTTTGATTGGGTTTCACCGCTGTTCCCTCTCACATTTAAAATTGCTGATC